ACACACACACACACACACACCAGTTGGCGCAACGGGGGCAGTGCGAGGGGCAGCGGGGGCAGCGCGCGCACACACACACACATACACACACACATATAGGTGTTCTCTCTCTCTCTCTCTCGCGCGCGCACACGCGCGCGCGCGCATGTGTGCGGCGCACGCACAGCTCCCCGCGCCGCCCGCGTGGCGCGCGCACACACACACACACACACACACACCCCTCTCTCTCTCTCTCTTACTCAGAGTCTCTCTCTCTCTATCTCTCTCTCTCTCTCTCTGTGTCTCGCGCGAGCACACGCGCGCAACTGCCCACGCCGCGCAACTCCCCAGGGCCCACGCAGCTCCCTCTCTCTCTCTCTCTCACACACACACACACACACACACACGCGCACACACACACACACACACACACACACACACACACACACACACACACTCACAATCAATCAGTCAATCAATCAATCAATATCAATCAATCAATCAATCAATATCAATATCAATCAATCAATATCAATCAATCAATCAAACCTTTTTTTTTTCAAGTTTTTTGTTTATTTATTTTTAAATTTTGCATCTTTATTTTTCTAAAACACCTCATACCCCTGCGAAAAATAGAAATTCATTTCTAAAAAATACAGGTGAACTTAGGGACCATATATCTGATGATAAAAAATGACAAAAAAAAAATCTAACTTTTCTTTATATATATATTTTTAATGTTTTTAAAATCGAATTTAGTTTTTGATTTTTAAAAAATCCAAAACAAAGTCGGATTCCAAAAGAGAAAATATGGGGTTGTAGGGTTTAAAATTCCCTACAACCCCATATTTTGTTTTTGTTTTTTTAACCTATTATTTAATTCAGGAAAATTATGGTAAAATCGGGTCCGCGGTGCGGACCAGGTAGGCCGCGGATGCGGACCCGTCTGCGTCCGTCATCCGAGATTGGACTCGCGGACGCGTCCGCGGGTGTTACATAGACCACCACGTGAGGTGTTGCCCCTCTTCATGTATCTTTCTGCAGTATTGGCCAACTTCATAGTGAAAAAAAAAAGATGGCTCACTCCCACACGCCGGTTTAGGTAACGTGGCTACCGTTGAGTCCCATCAGTTACGCTCATACGTGACCCATCAATTACACATCTTTGACGATCATGTTAGGTTATCCTCGTCTTTTTCTTCTCCTTCATCTTCACCCCTTTTTCTTATGCACACTCATACCTTCCTTCCTTTCATGGTGTACCCATTCTTTATATTCTCATGATCGCCTCTTTCCTACGCACACTCATCTCCCTTCATTTCATGCGGTTCTGCTCCGTTGTCCGCCTGCCCATTCCATTATCCTTTCTACCACGTATTCACGTTTGCTTCTGCGCGCGTTCCATTCTCTTTTCTATCACACGTTCACCCTTACTATCGTCGAGCCGAGTATGTGGTAGAGGGTAGAACAGGGGCCCCCGTTGTCCCCCGTCCTACTCCCAACGAGGGTAGTGTGGCGACCGCCAAAGGGCCTGGCGGCCAGCGGGATGGAGAGATGCAAGTTTTCGTCGCATCACGGAGGGGCTGAAAGTGGGGAAAGCCCCCGCACTGGCAATTTTTTTTTCGCATTTATTTTTCAATAAAAATTAAAAAATCCCCATAGGGGTCGAAAAATCGCCTTAACGGCCGTTAGACCCTTCCGTGGGACCGACGACTAAAGGGCGGCCCGGTAGCTTGGCGGGTTAAGTGAGGGCCCCTACATAGAGCACTTCCGTTGGGGAGTGCTCACTGGTGGAGGGCAACGGTCCAACGAAATGGTTTTATTTTTTTATATTTTTTTATTATTGTGTGTGTGTGAGAGAGAGAGAGTGTGAATGTGTGTGTGTGTGTGTGTGTGTGTGTGTGTGTGTGTGTGTGTGTGTGTGTGTGTGTGTGTGT